TAGTTCTTCTCTCTCTCTCTCTCTCTCTCTCTCTCTCTCTTTCTCTCCCCTTCTCTCTGTCGCGTGGAAAAGCTTACGGAAAAATAAAAATGAATCAAGTGCACGTGCGATCCGCTTATCCCTGCATGAGCGGAACCGTCCTTTGCGATGTCGTATGCGCGCGGCGCAATTTTTCGAATTTTACAGGGGAGTTTATTCCGACTGGCTGTGCCCCGCGCGCGCACGGCCCGCTCGTCACGCTCGTATAAATTACGACGTGCACTCGTCGGTCGATCGAGCATGGTTAAAACCCTGCTTCAAGAGCGTTAACGGTTTCCAGGAGCAAACACTCGAACGCTGTTTGCCCTCTTGCCTCGACAATATTGGCCGCCCCGTCCACCACCGCTCGAGCCGGTGCCTGCATGCGTCTTTACTCTGCTTTCCAACCGCATGAGATCATGCATAAAACGAGTATAGGAGGAAGGCGGGTGAAGCCGTATACGTTATCCGAAAATTGTGTCAACGAACAATCAAGTTACGTTCGCTTCTTGATTCGCACGAGGAGTGCGGAATCTCCTCTCTCGAGGACTCGACGGACCAATTTTTGTTCAAAATAGCTGAATTATGAACGAAAAGAAAAAAAAGGATAGCATTTGCTCGGAAAACTGAAATGGTTATTACGCGTTAACTAAGATAAAAATCCGATAGATGATATTTCTCATGCATAATTTCGGGGTCACGCTCTATGGAACCATAAAAACTAATGTAATGAAAAAGTTGGACTTTACGTCGCTTTTCTTTTATTGCTGAAAATAGGAAAAATGACCTTTCGCATAGGATAAAATTGTGGAAAGAGGTCTGACAAAATGAGCACAAGTGAAAATGACAATTAAGATAATAGTCAAAATGATGAAAGTATAATAAAATTGAAAAGAAATAAGAATTGATAAATATATGCAGTATCTAAAATTGTAAAAAAAAGTTATTATAGATAAAAGGAAGACATATTATTAAGTCCCCTTCGTTCTAAATATATAATAGAAGAATAATTTTTTTATACTACTTTATATATGCATACATCTCTTACGAGTTTCGCGAGCGATTTTAAAATTGAACTAAAATTACTTGACATGTAATACACTCGAAATATTTGCGTTTAACTCGCCCGGGTAACCAGAAAATCAACGTATACAAATATTTGCTCAACGCATACGTTTACATCTATTACAAGAGCACGTTGCAGATGTGTAAACTTCAACTGTAACGGATCTATAATGAACAATGATGTCGATAATAAGATGGGCTTGGGAATACTATAGTGGCTGTGCGAGCCGCAGAAACTACGCCGTTGATATTCTAAGAAGGCCCGCTGCGTCATTTACATACGTAGTTAAATATTAACTTTAAATGGGCAACTGACATGAAAGTATATCTGTGAGCGTTATATTTCCGAAAAATTGTTTTCTCTTCAAAGAGCTCTCATATGTCAAGGTCCAAAAGTTCCACGAAGAGAATTCCAATTTTCTGTTTGTCAAAACTGTATAATGTATATAGTCAGTAATAATTGCATTTTGCAAGTTTTGATTCACGCGAAAAGAGAAAATCCCTTTTCCCTGGACCTTCTTCTTCGAAACGAGGACTATAGCCATTGAGAGGCCCAAACTGTTCGAGGATATTTATTTCCGGCACTACACAGAAGTTTTATGCGCCATCTCGAAATGAATTTTTGAACGCGGTGTCGCGATTCGTCACGTGCCCTTGTTTTTTTCTTTCTTTTTCGACTCTTTTCTGCGCTCACGCACGCACCGGATATCGCCGCTTCGGGTGACATTCCGGCCCTCGAGCGCGGATATAGCCACTCGAGCCACTGTTTGCGCTCTGGCTGATCTTTCATTTACCCTGCAAGTGGGCGTATTGCCGTCGGCTTAGTCGTACTTCGCTTCCACTATCTATCTGCGCGTCGAATCCCCGATAAAAATGATCAATGACGCGCGTCGCGAGTGGCGGATCGAATCGCGCCACTCGCTCGGTGATCGATAATTAACACCGAACGCGTTGTTAGTAATTGTTAGTAGTGTATATGAAATAATTCAGAGACGAAAAATATATGAAATGAATTCCGACGAGAAGCACGAAGTTAATTGGTTCACGTGTTCAACGCCACGACAATTATTTTCATATCTGTAATGTAGACACGTTTGCATTTGCCACAATTAAAAACACAACTAGTATTGCATTTGAATGAGTTTATAATTAATTGCCGTGGCTTTTCAAAAAATTTAAGCAATAATAAATATAATGGAAAATTAATTTTATTAATATTGAGATATTCTTTAACTATTCGAATTTAATAAGAAATTTGAAATGCTACAAAATACAGATAGAACTATATACTGAAATAATTAATTACATGATATTATATGCAGTATCGGGAAGATCAATATCGAACTCAATGCATTACTTAATTTAATGTATCAGCTACGTACAAAACAATTAATTCCAAAATCAATATGTGCATCACCTTTAATAAAGTGACATAAAATGTAATTTAAATTATTGAAGAAATTACGTGTAAAATGTATATCATAATTATTATTTTTTAATAAACTGTTACGTGTTTTTATTTTAATGATTGATCGATATCAAGGTGAATTTAATAATAATATATGCAAAATTATTAAGCTTATTCAAGCGTAAAAAATAATTGCACGGATTATAGCAAAATAAAATATTAAAAAGAAAGAGTTTAAAAAATCGGAAGAGAAATGAATATAAAAATATAAACTTTCCAAATAAATAAAAAAATTGGAAAATCTATCCTTTTGTAAAATATGTCCTTTTGGAAATTTTGTAAACATATTAACAAAAATTTTTATACATATAATATTCTCTTCTCATGATCAATAAATGCTGGATGAGATTTTATGTAAAAAAAGAAATCTGTCTCTCTATTATTATGTTACAAATTAGTTAAATAATTATATCTGTTATCTGTTACTAACAAAAGATATATTTTTTAAATTATATATATATATATATATATATATATATATATAAGAACATGAACTTAAAAAATAATTTAATTAAAAAATGTAAAGACGATTTTATTGATGATAATTTTAAAAAAGTCATCGCTTGTAGCATTTCTTCAATATTCAATATTAAATGTCTTTGTTTCTAATTGAATTTAATAATTCCATAACTCATGTCTAATTGAATTTCAGAATATTCTACATAATGCTAATCTAACTATTTATATATGTTAATCTAATTATTTATTTTATGTTATTCTAAACCTTCAAAATAGATCTGATTCACTGAATTTTATATTAACTATATTTTATTTGGCTTATACTTATAGTCACTTTTTTATTTTGAGATATCTTACAACACTCTTTTATGGCGTTATTTATACATAAAATGACGTCATTTGCCAAAAAAATCCAAAAATAGTGTCCGGCGCGTAATATCGTTTGCCTTGGAAATGGTCAGTTCATCAATCCCTTGATGATCACATTGTAAGATTGAGAAAGAAAAGCCTCGTTCCTAATAATAGCTCCTGCGTGGCACATCAGAAGTACTTTGAGTACAGTAACTCCGTTCCATGAGTGTTATCATCTGATCGAGTATTATTTCTACTTCTTTTCTACGTCTTCTTTCGTCGTCTCCGATTAATATCACGTTCAAGATACTTTGTCTCTACGAAAATAAATTAAGTTTTCTCTTTTTTTTTTCACTCTTTTTTTTATTCACGCGACAGACACATTAACTTGTAATTGCAACAAATTGGTAAAATTTTTTATTTTTAATTAAATAATTTTTATGATATATTTTTTTCTTTATATCGAAATTTTTCTTTCCTTAATTAAATAAGCATCTTGTCATATTTCGATTTGTGAAAATAAAGATGATATAATTGCTTAATTACCTCTTTATATGACATATTAATTATCTTCTTACAAATTGTTAACTATTAACTATTAATTATTAAATAAAAAGAAATTGATTCTACAGCTAACTCGTAA